AACCCAAGGGTAGGCTTTAGCTGGTCCCTTAACAATCAGACACCAGTACCAACAACCGACCAATTAAATACACCAATATCAGTAAGTGAACAATAAAACACCCCAGTATCAACAACCTACCAATCAAACACACAGGTATCAATAACTAATGAATAAAACACATCAGTATCAACAACCAAACAATCAGACACCAGTATCAACAATTTTTTAAATGATTTTTTTAAAGTTAGGCGGAGCATCGCAGTTGCGTTTAGATATTATTTAATTTCCTCAAAAATCTTAACATTTCCCGATATTCCAATGCCTGTATTTCCTATCATGATTGACTTTATTGAAAGAGTTTTCCTGCTCACAAAGAAGCTATAAAACAAGGAGTGGTAAAGGTGAAATTATACCTTCGTAATGTTTACGGACGTCATCATGCGTTCGTTGGCTGTAATGGAGCATCCGTTTTACAGATAATAGCGCATTTATTTCAATTGTCGTAACTTCAATTCCATCCTCTTCTTTCCCAATGTAACCTATTGACTTATTACCGGGTTTATACTAACAGGAGCCAGACGACGAGTGTCACATGTGGAGCAGAATCTGCCTACCCATCCGGAGTTTTTTTGTTTTCTTCTGTTTGTATGTTTATCTGTTTTTCTATGTAGCCGTTGCGTTATCAGTTTATGTTAGACTTAAGAATGTTCCTTTGGTATTTTTCACCTCACTTTTTCAAACCCTAACACTACCGGTCAAATCTAGTTTAACCTCAATAAATACAATGTTGTAGGAAAACAAATCAATGTTATTGTACTACAGGTAAATTTATTTCAAGGAATTCTTAAAACCTTTACTCAACAACTGTATTGTTGCACAGATTTGGTTTGGTAGTTTAGTATGACGATTTTGCTTACAGAGCCCGTAAGTTTAGATATGATCAAAACGTATCGATCATGAAAATAAACACTTTCCGAAAGATGACTAATTCAACACTTTATTTAGATCTTTGAATATTTTTAATCGGTATAAATATTGATTATGTTATCGATAGACTAATCATAAATCCAACTAAATAAAATACACATACGTATATACGCGGTCCTACAATACGTCGATACGTCGATACCTATATTTTGGCATTGCAAAAGGTCGTGTTTTTTTTGTTCATTAATAACGTCTTTATACATTGGAAATTATATATGTACTGATTTATATTTTTGTCTTAGATGCATAATTTTGAATAGTTGTTATAGGTTTAAAATACTACCGATGCATAGTTGTGTGCTATTTTCCATATAATCATCGTTTGACGTATTGGATACTATGCATAAATGCTTATACATAATTTTTATTAAATCTTATTTTCAGAAACCATTAAACTAATCTGCACTGTACTATGCTTGGTTTGTCTCTAGATATTCCTTTTAAAATTAAAGAACCGTAGTGAGCGCGCTAACATACCCCACGTCCCCAGATTGTCATTGGAGAAATAAAATAAGTGTAAGAAAAAAAATTGTATAAGAAAAAAAAATTGAATCATAATTTACTGTCAATATGCACATCTACATAGTATGTTCTTATTATCTACAAAGTTTCATGAAATTCTGTTGTGTGGTTTCAGAGGAGTTGCGATGACAAACTGTTGCAGAAGTACATTGAAACAAAAGTTCAAAAGGGCATAACTCCAAGAAAAAAATTGAATCGTAATAACCTGTCGATATGCACAACTACATAGTATGTCCTTATTTTCTAAAAAGGTTTCATGAAATTCTGTTGTGTAGTTTGAGAGGAGTTGCGATGACAAGAAACAGGACTGACGGACTGACGGTCGGACGGACAGATAGACGGAAAGACGGACGGGTCAAAAACATTATACCCTCTGCAACTTCGTTGCGTGGGGTATAAAAACATATCCATACCCAACCTCTATCCCAGGTGATCGCCAGTAATTAAAATGAAGATTTAGTTTTAAAAATAGTTGAACCCACATTATTCTAAACCAGTGTTCAAATTTTATGTGTAGATGCTAGATTATGAGTTCTTAATGATATCTTAGCTTTTGTCTTTTTTTTAAGATAAAACCTTTCAAACTTTACTTAAAATTGTCTACTCCGACACCACTTTGCTTGTTTGAACCAAACTTGACCTGAATACCCTAAGGTGGTATATCCGACATCCCTTTTTGATCATATTGGTTGATCTATAACACGTCAGAGGTATTCAAAAGTGAGGCGAAATATACCGAAGAGATAATCAAACTCAAAAGTCGAAAACAAACTGTTAATGTCATGGCAAAAAAATGTGCAATAGAAAAAGGTACACAAAACAAAAACACAATATAAAAAACTTATCACTTAGCAACACGAACCAACCAAAAAAAAAACGGCGATAGTCACAAGTACTGCGGAAGGGTAATTAGATCCTTCCCCACCTGTGACATCCGTCGTGTTGCTCGTAGAAGTCCATACCCAGTGATAAGTCCTATTCTATAAGTCAAATTCGTGACAAAGAGGACGGGGTTGTGGTAACATCAATTGGAACATTACCGTCGTCATTTGTGATAGCGTTTGTAAAATTGTCGAAGGGTAGATTTCAACTATTCTTGGCTCAATAACTTTACTATAAGCAGAAACACTCTATCATAGAAATCATAATATTTGTTTGCCTATGAGAGAGCTTTCACATATTTATTAATTTTGACTTGGATGGAGAGTTGTCTGATTGGCACTCATACCACATCTTCTAATATCTATAAGCTCTGTGATATCGTATGAATTGGTAGATATATTCTCCATGTGCAGATGCTGCTGGAATTTTTCTACACAGAAACGGAAAAGTTAGAAATTTAGAAGCTGTATTCTCTTTTGTGCATTAGTTTAAGCGTATCTCAAAAATATTTTTTCATGATTTTATAACCGTTCTCATTTGTTCCTTAAGGTTTTATACGGTAACAATTGAAACGACAACCCAACCAAAAAAACAGCTTACATGCTTGAAATTTGTACGCGCATCATAAATATGGAGGTCGTTTGATGTAAAACAGCAAAGGTCTTGCCTTTATTGCACACGAAACGTACCTTACCGGGTAATGTTATGTTTATTTTGAAAATTGATCAAGATGACGAACAACAATAAAAACGCTGTTTCCTTGCTTTGTCAAAAAAAGGTGGTTTTTGGTTTTCATTTGATTTGACTCGTCTCCATCTATCCTATATCTGGTCATATTTTTTTTCCAAATCAATAACACTGTTCAAAGATATAGATCTTTAATGGGTTTATATAGTGTAAAAAAAGTATTAAGTATACAACAAAACATAAACAACATATATGCACGAAAACTCATTTAGATCAGAACACTGTCATTAGTTTGAAGATACATAAATTATGATTTAGAACAATAAAGCTGATATACATTTTCAGGAACTTTATAATATATTTCTTTTTAAACCGGATAGTAAAAATATGAGCATTTAAAATTATTTTTGATACAAAATGTGTTAACACAAATATACTGACTTATAAACCACATGCAGTCGTTTTGCATGTAAGACACAGTCAATTTTTCCTTTTTGAATGGTGATGATCCTTTTTCCATCTTACGGTGTTTATATTTGACAACTAGTTTGCTATGCCCGTGTCATTTGTGACGATTTTGATTTTAACGAACATAATCTATGTATAACTGGTAAATCATTAAGTTAGGTGTTTCGTTACCATATATTACTTAAAACCTTTACTAAATTATTCCATAGATATAGAGATTTGGTTTTGAAGTTTGGTTGTACCTGTAGACTTATTTCAAACGGGATAGCACATCCTCATTTTTACGGAAATATTGTTTACCGTGCCCGGAAATTTAGAAACGATCATGGTAAACTTATCGATCATTTAAATAAACTTATTCTAAAAGGTTACCAATTCAACACTGTAATTTGATATTGAATATTGTTTTTATTGGAAGTAATATTGATTTTGTTATCAGTAAATTAAAAGCAAAACTATATATCATTGTTATATACATAAACACATTTATGGATCTACAATCTGTCGATACCTGTGTCTTGACATTGACAAGGTCATGCATTTCTCTTACTGTTTATGACGTCTTTACAGACAGGTGTTGGATGTGTACTGATTGATAATTTAGTCTTAGATGCATGAGTTTTTTTATTAGTTGTTAGTAGCTTTGAACTAGCTTCCAGTAGCTGTGAGTACTCTCAGATCAGTACTTAGTGTCTTTTTGTTGTTGGGATATACAAGTACCCGGCCACGTCCACTCTGTGTTTTTGTTAGATGTATTTCTATTTGTATCCAACTGATGAGATCAGCCTTATTCAACTGATATTTATAGTTGTTCTTATGTTTTACTGTTACACCACTGCCCGAGGTCAGGGGACGGGTTGGGATCCTGCTAACATGTGTAATCCCGCCACATTACGTATATAACACATCTAAGAGAAAGTTTAAAATTATGAATTGTATATAACACTCATAAGTTAAAATTCCTATAACAATCACTTGTGTACATTTAAATTGAAATTAACATCAAGTGTGATAAAGGAACGATAAATTAAAACTGAAATCTAAATTAAGGCTGCTAGTATGAATGAAAAGCATGTGAAGTAGAAGGAAAATCATGTCACATGATTATTTCTTTTTGAATATGTGTTGAATAAATAAATAATAAAATTTGCTACGTGTACAATGGAAACTGATTATAATGAACAAGAACATATAAATTATAATTCAAAGAAAATCAGATGACAAGTTCAAAAATCAGATTATAAGACGCATTTATTCATTAACGATAATTCTTTAAGCTATTTTTTTGTTCATGTAAAACGAAAATGGATGTTTTAAAGTAGTGCATAATCACCTTTTTAATTTTTCAGTTAAAGCACTATATTCGAACTTTCCCATCTGAAATCATTGTGATACATCTCAGATGTGTAGTTCCATTCAAGGAGTATTTAACAATAAAGATAAAATATTGGAGATGAATGAATCATTGGATATTAGTTTTTAAAAATATATTCTGTCAATCATAATGAGTTTTTTAACTATGATTGGTACGATACAGTAACGTTGCTATACAATGTATATAAGTACTACAGAATTGAAAACGAATATTTCAACAGTACGCTTAATAAATTGATTTATTAAAAATTACATTATCCTGACACTAATCGAAACGGTAAACTTTAAAGCAATTTATGTTCAAAAATAAAATAAAAAAATATATTTCGTCAATTAGCCTTAACGAATCATTATCTTTATTTTCCTTGTAAAATATCAATGTCATCTATATTGATTTTGCCGTTAATCTCCAGGTTGTTATCCTTTATTATTTTCAGGTATCTCCTTTCAGTGTATTCAATCCATTTCTTTCGCCAATCTGTATTTCCCTTAAGGCCTTCAGCTTCAATTTCTTTATATTTTTTTACATCTTCAGCAATGATTTTTTTAACCTTCTGAAGCTTTGAACGTGGGTTAAATTCAATGAATTGTCCATACGTTTCCGGATTTTTTTTAATAATATCGTCCCATAAGTCAACAATTTTGTTTAGATCTTTACTGTATTTCACTAGCGCTGGCCGAAATCCCTTTTTTGCAAAATCTACATTAGCTCGGCCATAACCAGCTATAAAATCTAGCTCGAGAGCTTGATCTAACTTTTTCGCTTTTAAAAGCCCACTTTCGTAATCACGCAGTGTTTTCGCAATGTTGCTACTCTTTGACGTTCCCACTCTTGTCATTTGTTTTTGATGTAATTCTCTTGGGATATAATGCGCAGGTAAATCACGTGGTTTGATGCCAAATTCTTTAAATATACTAGATGCAGGGATATGATTTGCATCATGGTTTGGCTTTCTTCTGTCTTTTCTTTTCAAGTTTTTGTAGAGATCAACATTCGATTTGTTTGGGGTTTCTTTATTTATCTTTGAACTGCTCTTAAAGCTGCAAGTTTGACGTCGTTTTCTCTTTTCTCCGAGATGAAACGCCTTGCCATTTATCGTAGATAGACCCTTCGTTAGATTTTTTTCGCATGATTTATACGCTCTCGGGTTTTCAAAAAAACAAACTTCTTCCGCCCAATTAGTTCCAATATGTTTGTTCATTCCAATGCTTGAAAGAATTCCATATAGAGATGTTACAGTTTTTATCAATATTGTCGAGGAATTACTTATTTCAAAGGGTACGTTTGGATTCAGGACGAATGTAAAAATTTCATTTTCGCTTTGTTCATGTAATTTGTTCTCTAATCTTCGAATGTTATTAAGAAGGACCAGTTGACAAACACGGATATCTTCTTCTACAGTGGTGGAATATGAACAAAGTTCCCTGCTGTAGTTCCTTCCGTTTTTGTCATTCCATAATACTAGTTTGAGTATAACAAATAAGGATATAACGCTCGACAAGTTGTCTGCAATACTCATATTTTTCCAGTTGGAATTGATGATTTCGGTCATTCCGCCTTCCAGTTTCAGATGAGTACCTGCAAATCTCGCTTCCTCATGAGACAGATGATATTCACTGTCTCTTTTGCAGCGTGGCCTTCTAAATCTATTGACTACATTTGACCCAGGAATACTATCTCCGATTTCCCTACCAACAGCTTTAGCGTAACCTCTAAACCCTTTTCCAATCTTGGCGCCAGTAGCACCTCCTAAAGCATCAAATCCAATTCCAGTTAGAAGATCAAATTCGTCGCCAGAAGTTGTTTCTCCCCTACCCATTTTATCCCACGTATCCCATGAACCGTAATAGCGAGGTCTTCCATCTTCGCGTTGACCATTGACAGCTGTATCTATGCCTGTCACTATTCCATCGTAAGCTTGAGATGCCACTACGGCTGCTGCTGCCCCTCCGGCCGGACCACCAACAAGCGTCCCCGCGACTGCAGCTGGAATAGTCAGCAAAGACCCACTGGCACTCTTAAAAGCAGAGTTTCCTTTTTCTTTTTGACCAACAATGTGATGAATCGATCCCTTTATATGCCCTACCACTGGCATTGAATCAGCAAAACTTTCCATATTTTTACCAAATTTTTGTTGCGTTTCTCTTGCGGCCTCTTCGTCACCGTTCATAACATGGATAAGAGATGTCATTTGGGAGGCAATGATACCAGTTTCTGCAAAATTTTCCGCAGTCTGTCGGGCTCCGTCTACATCTCCCGACATCACTTGGACAAGACTTTTTACTTGTGATATCACTGGGAGTGAATCTATGTTCCCCATCGCATACAGGGTTTATCTTTAAAAAAAAGGTTAATTCTACAGCATGAAAGACTTTATAGTTACTGCACAGTTTGTAGTGGAAAAAATATATATTTTATGGATTGTCATTCGTAGAATTTATGTAACCAATTTTGATATTTGATTTCTTCAAGGTTTCGACAAAAATTTATAAATATATCGATGGACGAGAAAAACAAGGAATAATAGAATTTGAAAACATTAACCATAGGACAATCTCTATTATATACCGTTTGTATAATGAAGTAATGTCAGCCACAACGTCAATAATGCAGATCAGAAAATTAATTACCATGTTAAAAATAGTCATTAGCATTGCATGTGCTTTGCAAGGTATTTATCAAATGGCAAAACAACCGCCTCAGTGATATTTTTGTAGGCTCTACTCTTGAGTGCGGGAAGTAGTTTGAACAAAATAATTGAAAATAGACATTTGCCGCTTAATGCCAGACTAATGTATGCCAGGGTAGGGTAGTATGTCTACTTTTGATCTGTTACCTTGTGAAATAGCATTAACGTTATTATATTGGACTCAGTGTGTTGGTCTTGTCAAAACAAAGTATATCGTAATGTATTACACACTGTTTCTCCGGTAAAGCGCCCATGTACGGGCTCAAAAATGATAGAAAATAAATTGCATCAAAATGTCTAAACAAATCGCATAGAGCATCCGTATAGTATATACTATCCACCATTTAAATTTTAGCATGTAATGTTCTATCATTATGTAGTATTGATCGTTGAAGTTGAGGTTGAGATAAATAAAAATGTTGTAAAAAAATGACGTCTTTATTTTTCTGTTGACGTCGTAATCTGATAGTATGATTTATAACAAACAAAAAATAATGCTTAAACCTTTAAAACCATTTCTTTTTAAGGTATTTTATTAGTTCAAACTTTATAAATTGAAATAAACCTGCGTGTTTCTCGTGTGATAAAATGAAGATTTATTACTAATGTCTGCATACTTATTGTCTTACACCAATCTTTTGAGTTTCTTCACCACAAACTTTGCATTTTTTTCTGTCAAACTTGTTACAGAACATTTTTTTTTTCATAAAAAGATCATGTAAAACACTTTTTAAGTTTGCAAGATGGACTAAGAAGGTGGCGTTAAACACCAACGAACAAACAAACGAAATGCGCATTATCGTTACTTACTATGATGAGTTTATTTATAATATATTATAAATTTATAATACTGATGTATATATTTTAACATGTAAAAAACTATTTTGTTGGTTCTTTTATCCTGGAGCGGGTTACAACATAAAATTTCGCTTTTATCTCTAAATATGATGTTGATACTGGCGATGAAATATTGCTATATAAATGTTTTCCCCTTTTTATATGTCAAGTTTAATGTGTTTTTATTTGTGTATGTTATTTTCGTGTGTTTATACATTCAATTTATGATAATGACCACTAGATAACATGCAAGTAACTGACAAAAATGAAGGACAGCAGAAGTCAAGTCGTAGCTTGCTATGGGGTATGAGTTTTGCTCATTGTTGAAAGCCGTAAGGTTGTCTATAGTTCCTGACATCTATGGCATATGGTATCTGTAATATGATAGGCAGTTATTCCACATTTCTTTGTTTCATATTGGAAACTTTGATATTAAAATATGATAAAAATTAAATATCATATGTTTAAGTTTCTCAACAATTAAATATACAGCTAACGGAAGAGAAATATAATTTTAATTCTGATCCTATGAATAATATTGTTTCTTTGATTAATAAGCAAACATCAATTCATTTATAACAGCATCTGTTTGTTTTAATTCCATTGTAAATACTAAACAATCAGATTCATAAATAACATGTACATTTTTCGGACCAGCATATTCTTGATTAGACATTTTTCCAACCAGCACAGAACTCATAAGATATACAACTCATACAATAACACGATGTGTTTCTGATGCAGATCGAGCTGCCGTTCCTCCGAACCGAGTGCAGCTTTAAGGTTCCTTTGACAGGTTTGCAGTTTTTTGCAATGTTTTCATTTAAAATGATGGAATATCGGCTTATATCCTCTTTTGATATATATTTAAAGGCTACAGAGATATTGCTACTTGATGCCCACGTGTAGAAGTCATCCGCACTCTGTATAGTACATTTTCTTTGTTTAATAGCCAGGTCAGCGCACCGTTTTACCGTTCCACCTATTCCATCACATGGACCTTTCCCGTGACCCGCCTCAAAGTAATCCCATGTGCAATCAACTCCGAAATGATCTTTGTGCTTTTTAATAATAGAGAAGATATGTTTATTTCTGTACTGAGATGTTGGGCTATCTGTCCAATAATGAATGCATTGTAAATCTAAGTTAATAGTTTCGAGAATTGGAACTAGCCTTTTGATTACAGAAAAAACGAAAGTTGCATTATGGCTTAAGTCATTGGAAATAAATGTAAAACTTTTATGATGCAATGTGTCATTAACCTTGTAATAAACTACCACAGGGTGCAAGCTCACATAGCATTTATTGAAATAAGACGACTGCACCTCATCAGCTGTCTTGCAATTGAAGTTTTCGGCAAAATCCATCTGCACAATCATATGATTTCGAGGGAGATTAGCCTTAAGATCTTGTAATGCATGATACTGGTTTCTGACTCTATTGACATGTTCCTTAAACTCAAAAAGTTGTGGTTTAAAAAGTTTTATGAAACTGGCTCTATCACTTGATTTTGAAACAATGTTCATTCTTTGTCCAGCGTCGGTATTTACTCGAGACCATTCATCATATTGAAATGGACCACTGTCAGCAGGAAATAAAGCGTCTACGTCAAAGTGGTCTGTAACATCTTTCACAAAAGCATCCGGACTGTCGCTATTAATTATACCGATTTTATGTAGACAGCGGAATTTTAAAGCCATGTTTTGGTGCTTGATACATAAGCATGTGTTACGGGTAGCATATGAAACTAATGAGAAATTCATCGGACGATATTTACAAAATCTTGAATAAGAAAGTTTGATAGTTAAATTTTCTGACCTAAACTTGTGAAACAGATTGTTCATGTGATCTGATAAAATGTGCTTTTGTTTCTGCTGACCGCTAACAGTTTTATAATCTGCTTTCCCTGGCATTACAGACGAGTTGTCTCCTCGGTTTAAAAACGTTAAAACTGCTGTTTTTATTTCTTCTTGTATTTCTGGAAGTCTCTTACGCAAAACTGTTTTCATTTTCTTTGACGTTGACACGAGAGATCTCCTACGGATTCCGAAAACCTGACTTGTAATAGATTTCATTTTGTATTTTTTTGTTACCTTCCCATTTACTATGTTTTTGGTAAAGCAGGGATCAACAGCCTTAATTTCTTCCACAAGCAAATTGTGAAATTGTAATTTACGTCTTACTGTTTTATATTTTGACGGCTCTAGACCGACATATCTCATTTCGGCATCCGCGGAAGTCAGAGGTGTGATGTTTTCCTTATTTTGTTGATTTTTGTATGATTTTGATTTTGATTCATTTTTTACTATTTTTAATCTACTGATTCTCTTTTTAAGTTTCCATACTTTTCTGTTGGAAGTCTGCAATTCTTTTTCCAGTTTGTGTATTTTTCTATTAGCTCTAGAAATAGCTCTACTAATTCTTTTTCTGTACGACGTGCGTTTTTTTGAAACATCATTTTGTTTAACTTGCTTTTCTTGTTTTTTTCTTTGTCGATATAGCTTCACATTTTCTCTGTTGATTCTACGTTTTCGTTCTAAATCTCTTTTTGACAACTCGGTATTTTTTACATATGACTTTTTCTTTCGCTCATTCTCTTTTTGTAGGTATTCTTCTACATTTTGTAACCTTTTTCTTTCGCGATATTCCTTCTGATATTCAGCTTTCGTTTTTTTCTTTGTTTCTGAAATATAAAAATTGGAGATGTTGCTGAAGCTGACATAAAGACAAAAAGAAACAATTATGAATATTTAATCATGTTTAAGTCATTGTACATGTAGTACTAGCTGCTATTATAGATGAACCCATGGCTGTTGATCGTCCAGTGGGAAAGAGTCAAGTATCCACCAAAGTTAAAACAATCAGGTTGGAACTAATAAATGTCAACCGTATATGGCCTTAAACAATGAGAAAATCCCATGACGTATATTCAGCTATTAAAACGGACCCCGACTTGAAAAATATGAAATAACTCAATTGCAAGACTTATGGTCTAATTTGTACTGGTCGACACGCTGGACCGGATTTTTAACGATCTTTTGACTAGGACGAAGGGTTAGAACCCGAACCCTTTGAACAACGCTCGAAGCTACCATTATCGGGACCACCGAGGTGGTTCTGTTATTTTAAAATATAGTAACGATTGGTGGATAATTGTTTGCTTAAAGTCATATGAAACCTCAAATTAAAAATAAATGATGCATATGTTTTTTTTTTTATAACTAAATGGATAGTTTTCATTATAAAACTTATGTACATATACTTTTTTCTGAAGAAAATTCTTTAATTTGTCCACATTTAGAAGAAGGTTACTTTTTAGCTCACCTGGCCCAAAGGGCCAAGTAAGCTTTTCTCATCACTTGGCGTCCGTCGTCCGTCGTCGTCCGTCGTCGTCGTCCGTCGTCGTTAACTTTTACAAAAATCTTCTCCTCTGAAACTACTAAGACAAATTTGACCAAACTTGGCCACAATCATTATTGGGGTATCTAGTTTAAAAAATGTGTCCGGTGACCCGGCCAACCAACCAAGATGGCCGCCATGGCTAAAAATAGAACATAGGGGTAAAATGTAGATTTTGGTTTATATCTCTGAAACCAAAGCATTTAGAGCAAATCTGATGATAATAAAATTGTTCATTAGGTCCAGATCTATCTGCCCTGAAATTTGCAGACCAATCAAGCAACACGTTGTTGGGTTGCTGCCCCTGAATTGGTATTTTTAAGGAAATTTTGCAGCTTTTGGTTATTATCTTGAATATTATTATAGATAGAGAAAAACTGTAAACAGCAATAATGTTCAGCAAAGTAAGATCTACAAATAAGTTAACTTGACCAAAATGGTCAATTGACCCCTTAAGGAGTTATTGCCCTTTATAGTCAATTTTTAACCATTTTTCAGAAATTTTTGTAATCTTTTACAAAAATCTTCTCCTCTGAAACTACTAAGACAAATTTTACCAAACTTGTCCACAATCATCATTAGGGTATCTAGTTTTAAAAATGTGTCCGATGACCCCGCCCGCGAACCAAGATGGCCGACATGGCTAAAAAATAGTACATAGGGTTAAATGCAGTTTTTGGCTCATATCTCTGAAACCAAAGCATTTAGAGCAAATCTGATGGTAATAAAATTGTTCATTAGGTCCAGATCTATCTGCCCTGAAATTTTCAGTCCAATCAGGCAACACGTTGTTGTGTTGCTGCCCCTGAATTGGTATTTTTAAGAAAATTTTGCAGCTTTTGGTTATTATCTTGAATATTATTATAGATAGAGATAAACTGTAAACAGCAATAATGTACAACAAAGTTAGATCTACAAATAAGTCAACTTGACTAAAATTGTCAATTGACCCCTTAAGGAGTTATTGCCCTTTATAGTCATTTTTTTACAATTTTCATAAATTTTGTAAATTTTTGTAAATTTTTACAAAATATTTTCCACTGTAACTACCGGGCCAATTTCATTATAGATAGAGATAATAGTAAGGAGCAAGAATGTTCAATAAAGTAAGATCTACAAACACATCACCATCACCAAAACACAATTTTGTCATGAATCCATCTGTGTCCTTTGTTTTATATGCACATAGACCAAGGTGAGCGACACAGGCTCTTTAGAGCCTCTAGTTTTTAATTGTTTGCTTCCGGGAAGCAATTCGCCGACATATTTTCTGTTTGCAAGTGACCTTAGCGTGACCCTTCTCGTAAAAATCTGGTGATCTCAATACGCATGGATCTGTCATTAAAATAAACTATTATCTAATTGTACATGTTATACACATGCACAATATCCATGCTTCTTTGTTGATTGTTTACTAAGGTGACAATCGGTAAAATACGGCATCAAAATACGACAATTGATTAGCTGCCATATTTTCACAATATTTTCACATCAAAACAGACAGAGAGAAAAAAAATTGACGATTATACGATATTTTTGCGTAAAAAATTATAAAATCGAAGACTAAGTTTATGATATATACATGCATTGGTTGAAGAATTGGATAAACATTATTTTTCACCAGTCACTCGTTTCATGTGACTTTAATGTCTAGTGGCAAATATTTCATGCCCATTAAAAATGAAGAGCACCATTACAGAGAATGTTTTTCAAATAAATATTTGTTGAAATAAAGATAGAGATGTCAAAAACTAAAAAAGAGACAAAAGGTGACAGAAAGACAAGCAAGTCAGGATCCTATAAATCAGTGATTGTCGTTTGTTGGTGTGTATCATATTTATTTTTCGTTTATTGTTTTGTACATTAAACAAGCCTTTAGTTTTCTAGTTTGAATCGTTTTACATTTGTCATGTCGCGGCCTTTTATAGCTTGCTATATATATGTATGTGTGTGTATCTGTGTATAGGTTTTTTTCTCATGGTTGAAGTCCGTACGGTGACAAATATCAGTTGTCTACTTATACGTAACTTGGTATTTGATAGAGAGTTGTCTTATTAGTAAACATACAACATCTTCATTGTTTTTTTTGTTAACAACAATACCGACATATTTTTACAAAAACTACCAAGTGAGTACTAAATCCACCGCAATAAAAGATCAGATAGTTTGTGCGTAGTAATAAGCCATCTTTATTGGCAGCATCATCTCATTCAATTTTAAAAGAAACCATCAACAAGAAACTAAATAAAAATAATTCTTGTATGCAGTCTTACTCTGGCTATTATACAGCCCATTCTCTGGCAAAATGTATTGCCGAGTAGATTTTTTAATTTGTATTGCTGTATTATTTGCACAAAAAATACGTATTCAGGGTACATTGTTGAGAAATAAAACGGACAATTCGATACTTATTTTACATCCGTAATGATTTTTAATAGTGTCAACTCGGCATGCCATACTTTATAGAAATGCGGACGTGAAAGAAAGCACTGTTCGTCAGAACTAAAGAGCGTATTTGCACAAAAATACGTATTCATGGTACATGTTGATAAATTAAACGGACAATTCGATACTTATTTTACATCCGTAATTTTTTTTAACAGTGTCAACTCGGCATTCCATACTTTATAGAAATGCGGACGTGAAAGAAAGCACTGTTCGCCAGAACTAAAGGGCGTAATATGTACTATTTTGGAAAGCTATTATACATAACAAATTAAAAGTCTTTCTAGTTTAACCTGCACCACGCAAATGCACTTGTCAGTCTTCTGATAAATATTTGTATCGTTCGATCGTTTTGCTATTTTTTTTTAATCTCACTTGATAGTCTCCTAGATAGAATCGGTAGATTCTTGTAAACTATATTTTCTTCAAAATATGCAACGTTAGGTTCAGTAAGGTGCAGCATGGAAATCAACGTACGAAATATGCTTGCTACATTATAAAGAATCTATAAGGATCGACATATTATAATAAGTTGCCCCTTAAAATATATTTTAACTAGCTGCCTAGGCATTTGATTTCTTAAGGTGATGGTACACAAAATGGGGGACAGGGTTGAAACTGAATGGACATTTTCTTTAAACTACTTGAATAGCACCGGAGTCCCTAATATTATGTTTGATATGTTAACTTACACAGAAACACGATGTACGAGGTATATTTTTTTTAATATTTTTAATTCATGAAGTATTCAGTGTCTTTTGAGAAACATCCCTTTGTATGTAGAAATTTTCACGCTAACTGAAAATAAAATTTTATAATAATAGGATTCTGGTTCGGAACAAACTTATATCAGTGTATGGAATTTATTGCTGCTACTTAAAATAGCATGCCAATGTGTCATAATTGTTAGACTAGCTATTACTACAAATTACCATTCATTATTTCACAAGTTTAATCGGATTGCTACTGTTGCAGTTGTCTCTCTTTACTCATCTGTTTCTCTATATCTTCACAGGACGCTGTATGTCTTCCATTCCCGGAAACGTCAAAATACTATGGAAACGCGTGAAAATTCCCGACGTTTTTGAAGTGTCAACGGATATTACATTCCACGGAGATTACATTTCAAGGATTTTGCCATTTATCAAGAAAATAAGCAATTTTGTAGGGAAAAGTTGTAATAAATATTAATACGGACACCGATTCATACCTTTTGGAGGTGCAATTTATATTCAATATTGCCGTATGTTTATAAAACACCATTCCACGGAGATTACATGCTTAACAAATCTCTACAGGTTTCAAGTTTGTTCTGTTTTCTAGACTTATATGAATTGAACTAAATGACCATTGATATATGCACAAATATTTGTATTGTCCTTTAAAACAAATTTAATTCATTTGATGCCATTTATACTGCTGAATATTTTGTCATGAGTGAGTCTTTTACTTGTTAACGGAAATTACACGTTTTCGAGGGAAACATTATCACGGCTGTATGCCCACTATCGCTGTTAAATATGTACTAAACTTTATAAAAATAAAAAAATATAGATGGAAAACAAATATAAAAGCCTCATCTAGGAGTATAAAAAGGCACAGCTATATAACGCGAAGTCGTTAGTTTCGTCGTGTTACTGTAGGAATGTCCATATTTAGACTTTCAACCATAATTGAGACCTGCACATGCGCATTTATTGACACAAATATAAGAAATGTTTTGATATAAATATCGAGGGATAGTATACAAAAATAACAAATGCTTATAGTCTTTTAAAATCTCGCGTAGTAAGAGTTCAAAGATCTGAGACATATCAGTTTCTTCATATGGGCGCTTTACCGGAGAAGCAGTGTCCAATGTTTTTTGTCCTGAATATGCATTTAGTTTACCTCTGGATGTTTAAAAGACATCCATCACCATCATTACTAATTAAAGGTCACACCTCACAAATTGATGTGGTTATTGCTTAAATTGTTAAATCTAAAAATTTATGATCTAAAGTTAATCAACGTTTATAATTTAAATCAAGAAAGAGTAGGAAAAATACAAAATGAATATCATAAAAAAGCAGCTTCAACACATATAGTAAGATTTTAAGGAGATCATTGAATCATCACCAAATTTTTTTTCTAGGACAATAAAGTATAAAGTAAACAGGTAAAATCACAAAAATACTGAATTCCTTATAAATATTAAAGTTACAGATTCACCTTATATGTATTATATATTTTTTATGAAAACCAAAACTGCTGTTTGATATCAAATATATATCTTTATCACATTTTTGGAGAACATCAACTTATTAACCAAAAATGTCTATTTTCTTTCGTATTTTAGAAATTTATGTTCTTAATTTGAATGCCTAACAACTGTAAACCAACTTATTTTCGCTGATACTATATTACGTTTTAAGTCCTTTCATGCCAATTTCGCGGCGATTTAATTTCGCGATTTGGAAATTTACTTGATGTAATTCAATAAGGAAAGATCCTAGTTCTACAAGTTCGCGCCGATTTATATCCGCGTTATTTTTCTACTCGCGAATGTCGCGAACATAAATCGCTCGTGAAAATTAGTTGGTTAACAGTATTCATCTTACCTTTAACTACTGAAGCACTCGTCGGAGGAAACGTTTATTGTTCAGTGGTACTTTATATTACCTTTATATATATGCTTGTTGACTGGTTTTCCCACGTGTCCAAATATGGATAGGGAAATAACCATATAAAAGCATCGTAATTATTCCTAGGAACTCTTAAGTTTAAAGTGGCAGACCAGGAACGACACTTTTATCAATTACTGCCGGGTTAAAGTTGAGAGTATAAAACTTGATTTAAGTAGGGGGTAAAGATACGTGTTACTTGGAACAATCTAGTCATCACTTATCATAACCCAAATAAAGATAGAAACACAAGCATACGCATTTTGTATTATCATAGTTTATTTTAAAGCTGAACTATAACTTATGTTATGATGAACAATTAGATATATGCATATGGTCCTTTTGAACCAAACATATCGTATGTGTGTTATACTAGCCAATTAAAAAAAGGAACGATAAACGAATTACATGTATGCATAAAATTGACAGTATTCTGCAGAATAAGAAAAATTTTAAATGTTTTTATTTCTACATCCACTTATAGCCACTTTCGTTTTTAGTCATCACTGAAATGACTTCGCTTTATGTCCTGGCTTCTTGTACACACCTGTCCATAATTACCTAATTATTAATTTCTGTGTCATTTGGAATCTTGTAGAGAGTTGTTCATTGGCAATCATACCACATCTTCTTTCTAAAAAGCTGTTTTTGAAAAAAACATTTAGGAATTGTTTATCTTCAATGCTCTTCAACTTTGTACTTCATTTGGCTTTTTTTACATTTTTTTATTCGAACGTCACTTATGGGCCTTTTGTAGACAAAACGCGCGTTTGGCACAAATACAAAATTCCAATTCTGGTATCTATGATGAATGTATTTGCAAAGTGTTATAATATTTACAAACAATCAAGCTTGTGTGTTTCAACACAATGATTTCTTTTTGTCTGTGTGCAAAGAAAATGACAAGGTCATATAAAATCAGAGATAACATAATTATGTTAATATACATATATATATCAAGTATATATATAACTTTGTTTCAATTATGCCATGCACATGCATTAACTATTTAGGGTTTCTTTTTGGTAGTATTGTCAAAAGAAAACAGCTAGAAATAACATCAATATTTTCTTTAGCAATTTGTTTTATCCTACAAGTTCATAGTTTGTTTAAAAAAAAAATAAGGTAAGAAAGAACATGTTTCACAAAAATACGCTGCAGACTTTATAGTCCCACTCATATTTCTATCCTGTTCAGGCACTAATACTCAAAAATGTAATTAAAAGCAATTTCTGACAAACATAACCCAAATAATTTAGTTTATCTTTGGATAAACTCTCTCACTCTTCAAGTAGTGTAGCCATAAAAGAATAGAGAAATATTACGACAAGATTATTTGGATAGAACAAACATAATACAATACATCCTTTTAAACATATTACAGGTGTTTTAATAAAATCATAAATCGGGAAAAAAAACATCCACCCTTGTAGGTGTTGTCTATTATTATTATTATTATTATTATAAGACTGCAAGTTTCAGTTCAAATATTTTTTTAAACTACAAAATTCGTAGTTTTTATTGGTTGCTGTTGTTTTATATCAATGTTCCATTTATAGGGGAAATACAGGTTTCCAGTTAAATAAATGTCAATGTAAAGGTTTCTTTTAAAGTTACTAGAGAGCACGTCAATCTAAGTAAAGCGTCCAAACAACAGTTACGTGTAACTATAACTTTGGATTCATTTATTTTCGTCGTGGGATATCAATTTTCGTGGATTTCGTGGTTTGAGGTGAACCACGAATTTGAATGTTCAGAGAAGTACAAATTCTCTTTAGGCTTGTATGAAGATTTTGGTAAAACCACGAAATCAAATATAAACGAAAATACAATATTTCTTCAATCCACAAAAATTGGTACCCACGAAAATAAATGAATCCACAGTATCAGATTACTAGTTTACCATTTATCAATGTTTATGTGTTATCTCATTCTTATGCATGTATAGGTAACATTCTTTGATTTATACCTAGTTGTTAACGAATAAACATCAATGTACTGTTTTATTGATTACCTTAGCCGTATTTGGCACAACTTTTTGGAATTTTGGGTCCTCAATACTCTTCATCTTTGAACCTGTTTGGCTTTATAACTATTTTGATCTAAGCGTCACTGATGAATCTTATGTAGACGAAACGCGCTTCTGGCGAATTAAGTTATAATCCTGGTGCCTTTGATAACTATTAACTAATAGTAGCAGTGACTTGTGGTACACCTTTTATATAATCCTGGCATGGTCCTATATAAGTAATTGTATATAATTAAATTACCATGTTATATTTTCTGTCAGCATCAGTTATTTCTGTAAACCAAGATACATGAAGGTTTGATTGTTGTTACGCCAAAATGCTTTAAACATTTATTAGAAATGTTCAAAAATTGTATCTAATCCTTAATCATTTCTGGCCAAGTTTTCTATAAAAACTATAAAAGATTGTGTTCGACTGTTCTGACAACTTTCGTCTACCAAAGACTCACCATGGCCAGTAGCGTTCGAATTATAAGTTACAATGTATAATAATTTTAATTTAGTCGAAGCATGTACCTAAATGGAGAATTACCTAATTATTTTGAAAATGTGTGCCAATCTGTTTCTTAGTGTACTCAGCGTTTTATATGGAGTAAACCATAATGATTGTTATTTTTCTGGAATATATACGTAGCTATATTGTATATGCATAATACTTTTACACCATGCAACTAAAAGTAATTTTATTTGCTAATTAAAGATTAAGCTGAATAAAAAAATTTAAGACGGCAGAGAAGGTAATTCTGTTTTGATTGGTTATTACTAAGACTTAGATAAAGAGTGAGCTATTTATACTGTAATTTATGATGTCTCTGCTAGTCTGGTAAAAGGATCAGAGTGTCCTACTTAATTAAACGACAAATTGTTGAAATTAGATAACACGTTTTTACGTTCAGAGAAATTTCACTTATGACCAATGCATGATTGGATTACATCGTTCTTATTGGTCAATGATCTTGCGGGGTCAGAACAAGTTCACGTGTAAGTGCGTTGTGGTCACTTCCTTTTATCATCAGCATTTGATGTGTAAACTTGTGATTCTTATCAAACAATTTGTTAAAAATTCCCACCCACATACCTTTCTTATTGTTATCTTTAGAAGTAGATATATATATATATATGTTTATTTGTGGGGCATATTTTTCTCCGCACCTTTGCTATTCTTTGTCATTTATTCATTTGGTATGATATTAGTTGATGTAATTTCGTATTAATTATGTATTATTATTTCATATTAAATAGGAACTTTTATATCAAATTTTTTATTTGCAAAATGTATTTTTTGGCATTTTATGATTTTGGATAAGTGACCTTTTTTCGTCAGTTTTATTATATCATATAGCAAATCAAGCTCAGACTCTGGCCTCTGTATACATAGTATGTTTATGGTATCTAGCTCTCTGTCTTAAATGGTTTTAATCTTTCCGGACAATTCGGATAATCCTTGGAATTGATCAAGAACCTCAAAACCAACATTAAACTCTAACAGAAATTATTTATTAAGTTTGAACACCATCAGATTGAAGCAAAAACCGATCTACGTTACAATAAAAGAATACGTCCCCAAACTAAACGCTTAAAAAGAGAGGAGAAAGATACCAAAGGAACATTCAAACTCAAAGTCGAAAATTTACAAATAATTTTGGTTTTACAAACAACTATTAATTCATAACTTGATAACACACAATGTTTTGAGTACCTGAGCTGCAGGAACCGGTATCAAACATTCCTTCGGTCACTGGAAACAATAAAAATCCTATTTCTTAGGACCCCTTGAGCCGTTATACAATCGTGTTTTATTAAAGAAATATTTCATGCAAGCCATAGATTTGTTGAAAAAATCACATGGCCTGGGTTGTTGTATTGAAAACTTTATCCTGAGCGTAAGCAAGGGATAAAATTAAAACGCCTTAGTCGTTACGAAGGTGTATTGGAAATTTTATTTCGAGCGTAAGCAGGTAATAAAATTCAAAAAAGTATCCACCCAGGCCATGTGAAAATAAAAACCAATCGTTGAATGCATGCATTATTTTGATTTTAATATGGTGAAGTTTCCAACTAATAATTCTGACGTCATTTCAGTTAAATATGTCGTTTTTGTGCACAAATACCATTGTGACGTCGTCTATGTGTAGTGGTTGTTGTTTATTGAGTATTTTATTATGGCTCTATTCATAATTCCAATTTTACTTTGCAAATATCACATACTTATACGATTTCAATAATGGAATCCGTTTCGAGTGAAATTAAAAAGGTTAACATATCGATTATTCTGTCTTGTGCACAACAAAAGAAAAAGCATAGTAACAAAGCTATTTTCCTTCTAAAATGTGCATTATTTTTACTACACATAGTTAATCTTTGCATTGACATTCTTATGATAAACATACAATATTTTGAAATGGTAAAAAATTAAAAATGTTATATTGACATCACTTCATGTTTAAGATATTTTTTTATATATTCCCCGAAATACCCCAGTCATAAATTCTTTTACAAAAATTAATCCTACAACAGTTTACATATTTTCAATCACGCTCTAAATGCCCACGGGTGTGTTCTAGTAATAAATAAACTGTGGATTACTTAAATATTGTTGATTCTGGTGATTTGTATAAAGCAAAATTGTCAGTATCCTGTTTTCAATGTACCAATGTGAAGATCATATTAATTTAATGATAAGTGCTCTTGACATACTAAGTATTCTGGGAAGTCTCATCTTTAGCGTTTTAAGAATTACTGTATTTCTAATCTGCCACCAACATACCTCCCTTAATATTATCTTTAAAAGTAGATATGTACATATGATTATTTGTGAGGCGAATTTTTCTCCGCACCTTTGCTATTCTTTGTCATTTATTCAATTGATATGATATTAGTTGATGTATTTCGTATTAATTGTGTATTATTATTTCATATCAAATATGAACTTTTGTGTCAAATGTTTTATTTGAAAAAATGTATTTTTTCCATTTTATGATTTTGAATGAATGACCCTTTTTCATCAGTTTAGTTTTTATATTATCGACATTTTGTAACAAGTCAAGATCAAACTCTGGCCTGTATGTTAATGGTATCTATCTGTCTGTCTTAAATTATGATTGCTTGTGATTATCAGTAAGGTTGAGTATTGAGACATATGTTATATATAGTGATTTACGGGTATACATAAAACTGTTGTTCCCATGGTAATGGCATGACTGGAAACCTTGGCATTGTAAATAATTCACATCATTATATGGCCAAAATTGTCTAATTCCCAAGCGCCTCACCAGGAATAAGGACTACAATTAAAATATACTTAGATGCATTATATTACTATGCTAGATAATGGGTAGAGCGCAAGCAAGACTTAATCAAAACTGGATACTTCATATGAAAAGTACAAAGCTGTTCGGTCGTGCATTAAAAAGCGCATTCCAAATTTAAAATATGCAATGAGCACACTGTTTCCAACCTTTTGAAGAATATTGAGGCTGATGATGCTTAGTATTTTTTCGTAATGTGAAATTTTATGATTATTTTTGCAAATTTCATGTACACCAAAGATTTTCCATATACCGCACATAATTGATAAAGGTGTCCTGCAATATAACAATATTATAGGTTCTTTCTGAAATGAAGTTATATATTTTGTTAACCTCTACTTATAAACGTGATTGATAATTATGTACTATTTTAAAATACTTTTTTAATATTTTTCTCAGTGTGTTAATTATAAATAATTACTCCTCATCACGAAGATATACATGTTAATGTAATAAAAAGTCTGGTGATTACTTCCCTCTCCCTTATGATGTAAAACAAAATGTGAAGAGTTTAATAGTACGACTTTCGTTCTTATTTTAAGTTACTTAGTACATAAATATGCATGATGTATAGAGGAGACGCGTCATATACATAGAAATTACTAGATCATTTGACTCTGGCTTAGTACAGCAAAATTAAGAACCCGCGATACAAATATATATATAAAACAGGCGATAAACTTTCCTTCCTGCAAAGGACAGTGATGGTAATGCAAACATTTTATAGATAATAATGATTTTAGATAAAATAGATAGAAATAAGGTATAATGTTCGTATCTTCTTAATAATAGGCCCAATTCCATGTTCCATTGATAAACTGTATAGCACGTATCTTTGACTAGCATATCAATCTGTATTTCAACACCTTAAACAGTTTGCCAAAAAAATATATTCTAAAACATCAAGATAGACAGATAGATGTATTACAGGATATGGGATCAATATTTAAAGTGGTAAGACATGTACATCTGAATACAATGAAGACATGCATATTGAAGAAATACTAGATTTAAACTTAAAGACTGAATATAGCATAAACACTCTCTTAAACTGATGTTAGCATAAAAGTAGGAAGAGAAAGAAAATAGACCGACATAATAGATTTGATCCAAACTGTAAATCATAAACATTACAAGAGAATGATCAAAGTAGAGACAAATTCAAGTCAGTATTCCTTCTGTCATATATCTGTCGATCTCTTTTTTTCATTTTGGAATTGTTTTAATGGCCATATCTTTAATAGTCTTTTCAAAATGTATTCAAAACTTTTCTAGATTCGGGGCGATTCATAGCAGAAAAGAGAAAAAGAAGACGATCAAAAGAGATTACTTTCCCTTATAAATGTATCACGTATTATAGTATAATAAGAAACTGATACGCTACAGCTTTCAATGCGTGTAGGTATATAAGGTACAAAGTATATACGTCCTTTTTTACTTTTTATTTGATGTATAAAAAAATAAAAAAGAAAGGGTAACCAGTCTTGTATAAAAAAAAATAGATAATAAGCATACATAAATATCATTTGTTAGTACTAAATACATTAAAATATATTCAATTCTTCCAAAACGTTTTCACTCCGACAGTCTCTGTCTCTACTTGTTCATCAGAACTAATTAATGTTCCCAGTCAAAATCTATCGGCCAAAAAATCTTTGTCGTGATATGTACAACTCCGTTGGTGGCAGCAATATCCGGAAATCCTAGAAAAGATCCATTCACTGTCACATTACCTATAGAATAAAAATATATAAGTAATGGCTTTTTCGGTCCTTCCGTCTTAATAAAAAGTACAGAATTCCAAACCCTGTTTAAATTCAGATATAATGAGTAGATCTTGCATGTGCAAGACGTGTGCTTCTATTTATACTGCAACTAGTTGTGTTTATTTCAAGGGTTCCTTAAAGGATGAGAACTATTTTTGAATTAGTTTAACAATTTAAATAGCTATCAATGCATTAATTTAAGTTGCAGTATAAAAACAATATTAGGTCAATGTCAGAAAAATATAAACTTTTTTGTATTCGGTGCAAAACTGGGGAAGGACTCGGTAGAACCTCGCCCTTCCCCTAGTTTCTCAGCCTCATACAAAAAAGTTTATATTTTTTTGACATTGACCTAATATTGTATATATATTCACTACAATAACTATGAATAATCGTTCGCATGGATTATATCCGGGTTTCCATTCTTTGAACAATCTTAGACAACCTATAGTGATAATTTGTGAAATGGTTATCACAACCAAAAGACATGTTGGTGTTTGTCTCTACCCTATAAAAATTTGGGTCGGCCAACAATTAAATGTGCTACGAAAGACAATGGACTGGCATAATCATAGTATGATGCATTTAACTGTACTTTTTTCTTTTTTAACGGACTTCCAACTAATCGTTACGATAAAAGATAATTATATATCTATATATATAAAACTATATTGTATATTTATATTGTTTTAAAAAAACATACTATAATAGAACACCCATATAGTTGCTTTTCTTACCACAACTTCCTTTTCTATATGAAAAACTAATTTTAATACCCTTTGACGAACCTATAATAGAATCCACTCTCAATTCTTCTCCCAGCATCGTTGTCAGAGTGTCATTCTGTTTCAAGCCATTTGTAAAATATGTTCCTGAGACTATGTGATTTTCCATAACACCTGTCCAAAAGATTTAAATGTAAGAGAGTGTCCCGCACGGTTTTAAAATAAAACAAATATAAATTTAAAATAAAAAGGATGATCAACGGTCAATAACAATATGTAAAACATTGTATTATATCTTGGCATATATTTGAATGGTTTTACACTAGTAATTTTTGGGGCCCGTTATAGCTTGCTGTTCGGTGTGAGCCAAAGCTCCGTGTTGAAGGCCGTACCTTGACCTATAATGGTTTATTTTTATAAACTGTTACTTGGATGGAGAGTTGTCTCATTGGCATTCATACCACATCTTCCTATATCTATATATGTTTTTGATAGATCATTGGTTATTTCTTCAATAATTTAATCTTTATTTCAAAATGAAATATTTTAGATTTATGTCCCAACGTCTTTTCCTCGTTGACCTTGAATCTTATCAAATCAGATGATTTTTGTACTTAGTATATTTGTTTTTATACATGTAGCATAAAATTAGTCAGTCTTAGTTGAAAACTAATATTTGATAATTTGAAATGTTTTTTTTTTTTTTTTTTTTAAATACGACATCTCACTGCATTTACCCCAGACGCACGTTTCAACTACAAAAGACTCGTCAGTGACGCTCGAACAAACAGAGTAAAAAAGCCCAAATAAAGTACGTAGTTAAAGTGCATTGAGGACAAAAAATTCCCAAAGGTTTTGCCGAATACAGTTAAGGTTATCTATATAAAGTAGATATACATACGGCGAATTGCTGTTTTGTTCCCTCTAAGTTTGTTCATAGTTTTGTTTGGCAGTGCTTCCCAAGGAAGGTCCGTAGGAGCAAATACTGTATATGGTTCTTTTTCTGCAAAAAAAAACATGAACAAAAACAAGGCTATCGTATATATCGGAGGATGCAAGAAACAACACTTCGTATACAAATTCAAAGTAACTTTGTAAACCAGGCAAGCCCGTTATAGTTTTTGATTTACATTACCCGCATCTGCGACATGCGCTGTGATATCCATTTTAACTTCGAGTGGTTTTACGTCAGGAATTTGTAAACCCGCCTTTTATCTCCTTGCCCATTTAACACCCAAAAACTCCAACAAAAAAAGTAAACTAAGTAAAGCCAAGTATCTGATCATTTAATCAGTTTTGAAAACGTCATATGAATTGTTTACCAAAATTACAAAGATGTCTTAATTGTTTATTAAAGTTGTCTTATGTCAGTAAGACCAAGAAATAAAATCAAAACTTGTTCCATGCATTCCATAGAACCCAGAAGATAATAAGAATTTTTTTCTAAGGATTTGAAAAAAGGAATAATGTATCGATCTCTGTCAATTCATGCACCTCTGGTATATATATATAAAGATTCCCGCATGAGTACATCCCTTTAAGCCTATCTTTTTTCTTTCAAAACTAAGAACATTCATAAATTATACAATTGCCTACTGTTCAACTGTTCAGTTAATCCACCGTCCAACAACCCATTAGCCATGAATGTAGTGATTGGTATATTGACGATCTGTGCTACGGATCCATATCGTGGTGGCCAGAACATGACACGTGACATAATGTGTACAATACCATTAGATGCCTCATTATCAAATTTCACAATAGGACTTCCTCCTGCAGTTATTATCTATGTTTAAAAGTATAACCTATTTTTCTACGTAGTATAACATGTTTCTTTCATGTTCTTATGTATATATAAATTTAGAAAACTTTGAATCTTCAAGTATAAATAATGAAAGATGAAAAGCATCCAATTTCTTCAAATAGAAAAACAATCATGTAGACATTAATCAAAATTTTATGATCCCCTTAATCAAAATTAGGAGCAAATTGAGTCAGAACATTTTTTTAATTGTATGAATAGATACTTTATATTTATTATATACTTTCCACCTGTTCAATTTTTAATGATACACAAAACGGTCCATACAAAACCCTAAAACCAAAAAGCGAACTCTTAAACTGAATAGATAGGTCGTTCTAGCTCTACAGAAAGACGATGAAGGGTGTGTCTCCAGAATTCCAAGAAGAAAAACATTCTCTCTCGTATCCCCCAAAACAAATCTTCAATTCCCGAGTGGTAGGTTTTTATCACGAATCCCCGCAAAAATAAAGCCAAATCCCGAATTCCCGCAAAAATTAAGGTCTTATCCCGAGGTCCCAGAAAGGTTTTACAGACCCTCTACAGATGATACTAGTCATGGTTGCAATACACTTATCAACCATGGCTTATTGGAAAAGAGGGGCAAAACATACCAGAGGGATATTTAAACTGATAGATCAAAAACAAACTGACAGCGTCGAGAACGACATGGTTAAAAATGAAAAAGACAAACAGACAAATAATAGAACACAAGACACAACATAGAAAACTAAGAAGAGGTATCCTGTTTTACACTAATTTCAAAGGTTTCCTCTAATTCAAAGCTCTGATTCCTTTCACGGATTTGGCTACACGTTTGTTCCTTTGTTCGCTTGTTCATTTATTGTTAATTTTCTTTATATATTTTGGATTTTCAAGTATTTTGGACTAGGGCATAAACAATTATCTGAAAAAATTCTCCTACCTCTCCTCCATGGTAAATATTAACACGGACTTTTAAAAATTTATCTCCATTGTCCATTTTTGACCTTGATTTGTACAGAGCCTCGTTTTTAAAATTCTTCTTATCGTGTCGCCCATCAACTAAATGGTACAACAAAATTTCCCTTGCGTATGACAAGTCATTTAGATGATTTTTCTGTTCATCTGGTAGATCAATGAATGCATTATTAGATGGGATCAATACTGTCGCGTGTCCTGCAACAAAAACGAATGTCATACAATGTAGAAAAGCAACATATGATTGATTCTCGTTCAAGACCTGAACAATTATAATCGTTATTAACATAGAATCAAAATTAAACTTACAAAATTGTTATCCCGAATATTCAGCCTGTGTGACTTGTGTGCGGTCGAAGGACTTTAGATAAAATTATATTCTAAATTTCTTGAGAAAAAAAAAAGTTTCAGGACACACGTAATTTTTTTCTCATTCAAACTATATTTAAAATCAAATACAACATCAACCTTACAAAAATCTTTATGCTGTATGTTATTAAAAACTAGCCTGTTTTTATCTAGGACTCTTATACTTATAATAGTCCCAGTTTTTATATCAAACAAAATGGACCCTGGTATCCTCATTTTTTACAATATAAATATGGTTGAAAAGTAAAAGGAATATATTTTCGCAAAATATATTTTCGTAATACCCAAATGATATTCATATTATTAGTGCATACATTAATATTTGTTTAATGCATTTACTGAATGCAATCTAGGTGAGTTTTATTTCATATACAACATAAGACAGGGACTAAAAAATCTGCAACCCCGTTTTAAAATAACATTTGATATTTTTTTTATTATGTTTATTAAACTTTATTTAACATCGGGGAAACATTTTTCTGGCACAATCTCTCAAACTGATTTAAATGCATGTGTAAGAAATTATTTGCAAATTAGTTTCCTACAATATTTTCCAATTATAAAACGGTAAAAAGAATAGACATGCATCTCTCCTGCTTTGCACCACAAAACAAATTATAATTAAATGAGAAAAAAAAAGTTATCTTTCGTTTTCCATTGAAACAAGCGCATGTTTTAATAATTCTATACATTTGAAATACCGTAGCTGAGATTTTGAAAATGCTTATTTATATAAGCTTACCTGTTTGAATAAACATTGCAGTAAGATTCGTTTTAATTACAAGTGAAAGAAAGGTAGTAGCTCCAAGTTTGTGTGCAACATCAAGCACGTTTTGTTTTTCTGCTGACTGAAAACTTTGAATTTCTGCATTAACATTGTGCAGAAAACCTAACAGCATTACAAATATTTGACATGTGAATTCCATGTTTCAAGATATCGATGTACTTATTTTATTGTTATATAAGCCGACGAATTATTTATATAAGCATACGAATTATTTATATAAGATGTGGTATGATCACCAATGTGACAAATCTCCACAGTATGTCATTGCGTACATAGGAAGATCACTAAAGTTAAGTGGAGATAAAGCAGAACTGGAACTATACTAGTCAACAAAAGAAACGATACAAGGCAATGTCTTTTTCATATATAATGAAATTGGATACAGTGTACCAAGGTAAATAATTGCCCACTTGGTCCAATATCTACAGAGTTATATTTTCTTATTAAAACCATTGATTTAAGGCAAATACGCCAATTTGTTTTTTTTTATTTTTGTTATTTCAAAAATCGTATTTTCACCCAAAAATTAGAAAATATTATTAGAACTTTAAACTTTAAACTTAAAGATAGTCTGCTTAAAGTTCTGAATGCCTTTGTTGATATTTGAATGCTTTATTCTCATATTCGAAATAACGTGCCGACTTTTGTCATCATTTTCCGCATTACAAATTTGACCCCTGTGTTGAATAAAACGGTATTTTTTAACTTTCCAATTTTGTTAGATTCTTTTAATCATATGCATTTACTTTGTAAATGAATGTTTTTCATTGGATAATTTCAAATTTTTACCTATTCATTATATGTTATGACGAATTAAAGTGCCATCTTGTGTATTGTTTCTTTTGTTGACTAGTATATAAGTTGAACTTTGATGTAGAAATAGTGCGAAATTTTCATTCCCACTGTTTATAGAGTTAATGTATTGTAGGGAAGACCATAATCTATCGTCACATGCATATACATACAGTATTCATATTACCACGCACACATGTAACATGAATAAAACATGTGCTTAGCTGTGCCCAAGAGTTCATTATCTTTTCGATAATTATCTTTCAATAATGAAACGGTTTCACGCTTCAGATGCATGGACAAAATGCTAAAAAGTGCTTATTTCATTTAACGGATAGACATGGTATCTATGTACATGTATCAGTTTCTTCAAGCTTAGAATATAACACTAGATTGGTTGCATCCGAGGCGCTTTCTCCCTAAATTTACTTGTTAATAGTTGTTTTTGGGAGTATTTCACTGTTGAAACATAGAAATGTAGTTTTTCCAACTCGATCATCTAAGAATCATTTATTTATTTGTTATTAAAATTGTTTGACATTGATGATTACACTTTTATTCCATTTCCATAAAATTCCAGAAACAAAAATGTATACAATTTCTCATATATGGAGAATTTCTCAATATTGAGACATATTTTTATAATATTTCAATTTTTAGAAGGGATAATGGTTTTTAATATATGCTTTTAGCAATTAATAATGTTGACTTGATTGATTAAAGAAATTTTCATAGAAATATGTAGTATATATTTTATTGAAGTTTGACATAAGCATTTCTAAAAAAATGAGAAAAATAATATTAGAACTAAAAACTTTAAACTTAAAGATGGTATGCTGAACATTTTGAATGCCTTTGCAGATATTTGAATGCTTAATTCTCATATTCTAAATAACGATCCGACTTTTGTCATCATTTTCCGCAAAAACAAATTTGAACCCTGTGTTCAATAACATGGTATTTTTTACTTCTCTAATTTTGTCAGATTCTTTTAATCATATGCATTGCAAATGAATGTTTTTCATTGGATAATTGAACAGTTTTTCCAATTCAATATATGTTATGATAAATTAAAGTTCAAACTTGTGTAACCTTTCTTTTGATGTAGAAATAATGCGAAGTTTTCATTCCCACTATTTATAGAGTTTATTTATTGTGGGGAAGACCATAATCTTTCGTCACATGCATATACATGCAGTATTCATATTGCCACAAACAAATGTAGCATGAACAAGACATGTGCTTAGCTTTGCCCATGAGTCCATTATCTTTCGATAATGAAACAATTCACGCATCAGATGCATGGACGAAATTCAGTAAAGTGCTTATTTAATTTAACGGATAAACATGATATCTACGTGTATCAGTTTCTTTAAAAGAAGACAAAATTAGCAACATAAAATAACACTATATTATATTGGTTGCATCCGAAGTGCTTTCCATGATTTACCTTCAGGAACGTCCATAGACCCAAAAATATTTTCATTTACTGTGGATTCATTATTATTCGTTGGATAACGATTTTCGTACGTTTTGTAGGTACAGGTGAACCACGAATTCAAATGTTCAACGAATAACAAATTATTTTTAGGTTTTGTATGAAGTGATTGGCAAAACCGCGAAATCAAATATCCATCAATCCACTAAAATTGATACCCACGAAAATAAATGAATCTACAGTAAAGCAGGTGAGAAATCAATGTGCATGTTAACCTCGAAAGCATTGTCAATGAGTTAGTTTCTATATCTAAAATTAAAAATTGAAAAAACACAGGGATTGAAATGTAGAACGTCATCATTTTGAATATTATTTCACTAAAAGATTACAGGGGTGTTATTTTTCCTTTTTAATCAAAATCA